TTATAATGCTTGAATGCATTGCCTATTTATAGGCAAACATTCATGCAAAAGATAAGAGCAAGGTAGGTGGCACCAAATTTATGCCTAACATTGTTGATAAATTGGTGCCTAACATTGTTGACAAATTTATACCTAAGATTGTTGAGAAACATTATTGATTTTGTCAATAATGTTAGGGTGATTTCACAAAGAGTAAATTTCTGATCACTCTATTTCTAAGATAGCTGCCAACTCTTGGTGAATTAGACGTCTCGCTGGCATGCGGCCTGCACTGGTTCTCTTAGGGACAGAGGAGCTAAAAGGAAAGAGTCAACAGCCCTATATCGACATTGAAACTTGAAAGCATGCAAGAAGGTGATTCTAAATTATAAAAAATCAGATGAATAAACTCTCTTCATAACTGGTTTTTCTCATTTATATTCTAATAATAGGGTGTTGTTATATGGTTCTCTTTTTTGCAAATGACAAGGAGATTCAAAGTGGTGATGACCATTTCAAAGAGTCTGCAGTCATTCAAGGTAGCAGGGGAATCTGCAGTGATGGAAATCACCATCCAATTAATGAATGATTATTGACTTAATCTCTATGTGCTTTATGGTGGGATTTTATTGAAGTAATAATTCAGAAGCTTTTTGTTAACTCAGAGTTGTCATGTTCAATAGATAAGCTTTTAAATTGATCAGGCACTTCAAATGAAGATGGAAGTGCGGTGGAAACTTCATGGATAGATTGCAGGTATGAAGACATTCACAGCTGAGACTTGAAGCTCGAGGGGAACTACTTGCAGTCAGTGTTGAAGAAAGCGCAAGAAACACTGCCTAAACACTTCAAAAACTGGCATCTCTCAGTTAGTTGATGTCCACGTGCTGTTGTATTGGAGTTGACAGACACAGGAGGCTCAAGCTTAAAGGATGCTAGATGTTATCTAATTGATTTTTACTAGAGATTTTCAGGTTTGATTCGCTTAATGGAAGAACTTGCTTGCACTGTCCTGCTTATTATGGCCATTTTGATTACCTTCAAGCTACTCTTTCTGCTGCCATCAATCCAACCTGTTACTGTTTCTTGGTAACTATATCTACATTCTAGAGATTGATTTCGCTTTCTCTTCTCTTCTGTTTTTTATCAGAGTTATCCTTGCATAGACAATGAACTTCGGGTGAGTCATGCGAGCCCCGCAGGTTACAGTGAGTAAACAACGAGCATGCATGCTCCCGCCAGCCTGCAAAATTTGGCACAAAGCAATCGTTGATTAATTTGTAGCTAATAACATAGTCCAAGGCCTAAGCCTACAGCCAATCTCGAAATGGAATGATTCTTTTTATTTTTTATTTTTATTTTTTTGGCATTTAGGACTCATTTCTTCGTATGTTTACTTTGTTTAATTTTTAATCAAAGCTAATCTAACGTTGATGCGTGCTAAAGCTCGGTTGACTTGATCAAGCCTTTAATTGAGCAATTTCAGCAAGTTTTAGAGGCGGTTTGTTGATGCGGCTACATCATATTTTTAAAAAAATTAATTTTTTTTATTCTTTTTAGATTATTTTAATATCATGATATAAAAAATAATAATTTTTTTTAAAAATAATTTTGATGCATTTCCAAACAAAAAATACTTTCAAAAACAATTACTATTATAATATCAAACACTACCTTAATTTAATGAGTTTTTAGTTTATAACATAACTTTAGTTTTTAATAAAAAATTTTATTTGGTTTGTTTTGATTCATATTGATATAATTTTGTTTTGAGTGATGTTTTTTAATTTAAAATTGAAACTAAACTGAATTATTTTTAAATTTTCTAACAAAAAAATATTTAAAAATTCAAAAAACTATTTGGATTGCATAGAATTAGTAGGAAACTAGATTCTATTAAGTGAATTTTAATTACATGGTCTCACTCTTAAAGCTTATGGTGAAGGATTTTTTTTTGGTCAAATTAGTATAATAAACTTAAAAATTTAGAAGAATAACAAAGAAAAATATTGATGAAATAACTTACTTTCAACTTGTAACGCTTCAAAAACATGATATTTATTAAATGTCACTATTAAAACGCATGACAAGATAGTTATCCTGCTTTAGAATAGCAACATTTAGTAAGAATAGCAACATTTAGTAAATATCACGGTTCAGAAGTGCGACAATATGAAACTTCAATCTTCTAATCGACCAGTTTGATCTAGGTGTATTAATCAGTCGATCTTTTTATACAAAAACTATAATTTTATTAATTTTTTATTTTAAATATGTTTTATGAGTCAAAATATATATTTTTATCCAACTTGTAGACTAAAAAATCTCAAAAATTTATTTTAGTCGGGCTTATGATAACATATGATTCTAAGTAGTCAGGTGTAGATCTGCCTTAAACAAATTACTTGGATGACCTATGTATTTATGGACTAATGAACATGTTTAGGCCCAAGAGGACGTATGATCATGCAAGATCAAAATAACATTTTAAAAAGATTATAATTTTTGATCTGATTGTTGGATTGTACTCAAATTTTTATAAGATTTTTTAAAGGTTGTTTTACCTAGGGTAACCTTACTATGCTATGTAAACCATTATATCTTTAGATATAAAAAAATCTAGTGAAACTCTCTAGTTTTGATAATTTTATAATTTTTTTTATTATTTTCGAAATCAATCGAGTAATTTTACTAATCATTATAAATGAATCAATCAGTTGAACATGACAACTATCTTTTTATAGTTCAGAAGCGTGACATCTACTAAATGTCACTATTCTAAAGCATGATAATACTCTTGTAGTGATTTGAAATAACAACATTTAGTAAATGTCGCATTTCTAAAAGACTATTTTGTGTCATACCATTTTGCTTTTGTGTCATTGCACCATTTATTTTAATTTTGTGTGATAATTTCCTAATTTATCCCATGCAGAAGAGACTAGGAGTTGAGATGGATGCGAAATTATCAACAAGAAATAACTAAGAAGCGTGTAATTTATCGTCATTGACTTGAGGGTCGTTAAGGGGAAAAGTTTTGCTATGTGAACCAAGGTTGTCAATTTATTTCGTTCCATTTGAAATGGCCGGTATATCTCATTTCAGTTAAAAAAATAAAATAAATCGGAATAGATTTCATCTCGCTCAGAATCTTGTTCTATTGCAAAAATTTAGCCCAAATTCTAGTCAGAACGTTCTAGTTCTGTTCTGGCTGTTTCATTCCATATAAATACTATGTCTAGAATCTCCATACATATTTTGATATTTTAAGTTAAAATTTTAGTGTAATTAAAGTTTAGAAAATCCCTGAAACTATCGATGACATTTTCAGAAATCAGTTCACTTTCAACATTGTCACTATCTTTACCCAGCAACGGAAGGAAGCATATCTTGGAATATCTCATGGATTTGGACAGGATTGGGTGTTTTGGTTTTTGATGAGATGCTCCAAGAAAATTGTCAGGCTCGTTGGATTTCTTTTTTTTTTTCTAACTTTTTGAAGTAAATGATTTTGACATTTCAGAGGAGGTGGGAAAGTAGTGTTGAATGGTGGATCAATAATTAACTCACTGTCTGCTTTGCTACTATTCCTATCCGATGACTCTGACATTTCAAAGGACGACCAGGTAGTGGTGTTCTCCTTCACCTTTCATTGCATTATCAGTAGCTTCCACTCCGAAATTCAATAGTTTTTGTTGGAGAAAAAAGAAAAGGAAAAAAGAAGAATAGTTAATGCAAAATTGTGTGTACACTGTGTATCACTTCAGCCTTCCCCATGTTTAGAGGAATGAACGTGCCTTTGGCTTGCTACGTAGCTTTTCTTTTACAGCTATTAGTCTTCCAAACTTGCCATTCTAGCAACATCGCTGCTCATTGTGCTCCTTCTTCATGCGGCAATATCCAAAACATAAGCTACCCTTTCAGACTAAACACTGATCCACAAAGCTGCGGAAACAATAAATATACTCTGATGTGCGAGAACAATATTTCTACAGTATTAAATTTATATTCAGGTAAATACTACGTGCAGGCAATCGACTACGGTAACTTCACAATCCGAGTGGTAGATGCTGGTGTACAAGAAAATTGCTGCTCCATCCCTCGTTATTCTTTGGCATTTGATAACTTCAGTGACGGAGATCCATACACATGGTATAAATACAAGCTGGGGCCGCCAGGAGCGAGTGAACGTTCCGTTTACTATCGGGGGCACTATCGGGGGGACCGGTTACCACCTACACTGCCACTGCCTATGATTTTCATGAGCTGTGAAAATACAGTGAATTCTCCTCTTTATGTGGACACGGCTCCCTACAGCCTTAACTATGGATCAGGAAATTATTCCAACTCTTCTCTTGTGACTCTTTCGAATTATGTGACTCTTGGGGGCATGACTGCCTCGGATTTGATGGAACTGTGCAGCATAGAGAAAATATTTTTGCTTCCAAAGAAGAACTACACAGACAAGTCCTTCGAAGAAATACACAGTGACCTGGCATATGGGTTTGAGCTTTCATGGTACAACGTCTACTGTGAAAATTGCACAAAGGGCTGCTACATCGACAGCTCAGACCGTCGTCAATGCATTGGCATCTGTATGTAACACTTGATGATTAAGTTGCTTCAGATTTGATTCATAAGCCTATAAATAACTTGTGATTTGAGGTGGTTCCATATATTTTCTCTGGCTTACTTTTCAATTTTTCATTTTTTTTGGGCATTAGCACAGTATTGCACTGTCCCCAGATGTTCATGTGCAAATTGTGAGCATCCATTACCTGTGGATTCTACTATAGTGCACTGATCATAAGATTCATTCATGTTCACATTGTAAAATGTTCTGACTATAATGTGGTTTAAGGTAGTTGGACAGATTCATTGGTCTTTTGCAATTCAGGTTTGACACAGTGAAACGTTTGGTTCATCTTAACCTGACCATGGATATACATTAATTAGTTCAAGTCACATTATTAAATTGTGTGCGCTATTTTCTATTTTCTTTCGCATTTACTGTTGCGTATACCATTAGAATTCGTTTTTAACCTAAATTCTCGACAGATTTTGGTAGAGGCTACCGGCGAAGGATACTCTACATAGTGATAGGTGCGAGTTCTCTTTCTGCATCTCACCATGTTTGTGTGTTCTTACGAGTTTCTTTAAACGACATGTTTGTGAAATAAGGATTGTTGTTTCTTGAATAGTAATTGTAATTTTGTTCACCATTTTCTGCAGATTATCTCCGCTTTATATCCTTTTTATTTGGTAAGAGATTCCTTCATTTCTTTAGTTTCGCAACAAATTTCTAGTGGAGACAACAAATAAGATCACAAAACTTGATCGTTTTCTGGAAATTTCCTACACAGCACTACTTCATGGGCTAAAAGTTGTTTGTGGGACTCCATGTGTGATTGTATTTTTGATCTACAAATGGCGAAGGAGACATTTATCAGTATACGATACAGTTGAACAATTCCTACAGGGTCAGAATAACCTGATGCCAGTAAGGTATTCCTACTCAGATATCAGGAAGATTACTAGAGGTTTCAAGGACAAATTGGGTGAAGGAGGCTTTGGTACAGTTTACAAAGGAAAGCTTCGCAGTGGGCGTTTTGCAGCAGTAAAATTGTTGGGAAAATCGAAAGCTAATGGACAGGATTTCATAAATGAAGTTGCTACCATAGGAAGGATTCACCATACTAATGTGGTGCGGCTAATCGGTTTTTGCGCCGAAGGATCAAAGCGTGCTCTTGTATATGATTTCATGCCTAATGGATCTCTTGATAGACACTTGTTTTCTCGAGAAGGATCAATCTCTTTAAGCTGGCAAAAACTGCATCAGATTTCCCTTGGAGTGGCTCGTGGTATCGACTATCTTCATTTAGGCTGTGACATGCAAATACTTCATTTTGATATCAAGCCTCACAACATTCTTCTCGATGAAAATTTCACTCCAAAAGTTTCTGACTTTGGGCTCGCTAGGTTGTACCCAACAAATGGCAGCATCACGTCTCTTACTGCAGCAAGGGGCACCATAGGATACATGGCTCCTGAACTGTTCTACAAAAACATTGGACGCGTCTCATATAAAGCTGATGTTTATAGCTTTGGAATGCTGCTATTGGAAATGGCAGGTAAAAGGAAGAATGTAAACGCTTTGGCAGAAAATTCAAGTCAAATCTACTGGCCATATTGGGTTCATGACCAAGTATCTGATGGAAAGGCCATAGAAATCGGAGACGATGCCACTGAGGAAGAAAGTAAGATCGTGAAGAAGATGATTATGGTTGGATTGTGGTGTATACAAATGAAACCAATGGATCGGCCTACAATGAAGAATGTTGTGGAGATGCTTGAAGGAGATTTGGAAAACTTGCAATTGCCTCCTAAGCCTGTCTTAAATCTAGATGAGACGCCAACAAACATTGAAGGAGAGTCATCATCGTTGTCAGGTGAGTCTACCGAATCAACCAGTTTGGTTGAAAATGCGTACTGAGTGATACGATGTGGAATGCTCTGCTTGCTTACATGCAGGGAATAATTGCGCTTCCGGACTTGTTTATGATGATAAACATTATGATAATTTGCAATACTTTTATCTGATTTGTGTTTACCTAATTTAGAGTTCAAGCTGCGGCTTGTTTCTTCGGTGTGGTCTATATAATCATCATACAAAGATGTTCTGTATTGTGTTAACTATCAGATTTCCACTCTCTTTGGCAATCATAGCAGTTATCGAGGATGCCACATCCTCCATGATAACTGTTACATGTTCTACATTTTAATTATCGTATTTGTCTCTAGCAGAGTAATATTTTGGCTACAAATTAACGAGAGACTATCACAGGGATTTGCTCTCATAGGGATTCCGAACACAGGGGCTTAATTTCATTTTCTTCCACCAACAATGGCTTCTTGTCGATGTTCAACCCCATGATAATCGATCTAGCGTCACCATTTTCACATTACCATATCTTGCATAAGCCACGAGGAACCAATCACAACAAAACAGGATTGGAAACCATGACCATAATGGGTGCTGTGAAATGAATATTGAAACAGATGGGTGAATTTGATGCAGAAATCTTCTGTTTCTCCAAAAAAAAAAAAAAAAAAAAAAAAAAAAAAAAACGAAAAGTAGAGAGGAGACAATGAAGCTTGCTTTCCGGTCATGGCATTCACCAGAGAGCTCTGCTTCTAGGTTCTAGCTGTGAAATGCATCTTCTTGTGGGTAAGAGGCAAGGCCTTTAAAAAAAATGCTCAACTGCGTTCAACAAACTTTCAGGATCTACTTCAATTTTCTTAAGAGAATGGGAAATAGTGATCGGAATCCTCGTTAGCTGCGGGCAATCATCCATAGCAATTTCTTCGAGAGAATTGCATTGAAGTCTTCCAGAATAAATGCTATTCAAATTCGGTAATTTCTTCAATACCAAAACGCTCAAAGTCGTATCAAAGCAAGAAACTATCCTCTGATGGGTTCTCCCCTCTTCATCTGTTCCTATTGTCTCCTCGATTTCATCACATTCTTCCACTCCAATCACTTCCAATCGGAGTCTAGACAACAACCAAGCAGGGAGCAGCACCTTCAATCTATGACATTTGTGTATCATGTTCTCTATACCACTGCTCAACTCAACATCCTTCATCAAGGAAGATGAGATGTTATTGATATCCATTTCAAATGCTTGACCTGCTGGCTCTGTTCCTAATGCAGTCTCAGGTGCATCAGGCATAAGTATGCTAGGAACCATGGTCTCCTCAGTAAGCACAATCTCTCCCCTAATCATCCTATTCATCCTCGCCAATCCATCATCCAAAAGAGGGTGTCCTTCTTTACTGAGCACAGCACGCCAACATTGCAAATGATGAGAAAGAGCACGATCCACAGATGGAGAGAAAGCAATAGGCCAAGAAAAGAGAAAGAAGTAGAGTTGACCTTGAGAGCAGTATGTTCATAGATAGAGACGGTTGAGAACGAGACCAACAAACAACCTTTAAGTTTAAAATTTTTATATATGTATAGTATTCATTATCGGTTCTTTTAATTATACTCAAATCCGACTTAAACAATAACTGTTTATAAAACATTTAATTCATTCGGATTGGTTTTGGTTTTCTAGAGTATTTATCAGTTGAGGTGAAACTGTAATCTATACCTCCAGATGTTAGAAAGATATGTCGTTTTTGATAGAGTATTTATCAGTTGGCTAAACGACAACAGCACATTACAGGTTAGGATAATGCAGCCGGGCTTTTAGAAATACAAGGTTGTGAGCATTCATGTATGGATTTGATCTTCTACTTATATGGTCTAACAGAATTTTTATGTATAACGAGGACAAGCATAAACTTAAAAAAAGGCTTGATTATTTCAGGCTATGTTAATATCTTAAAAATAAGATATCTAAAGATGCTGTTGTTGAATTAAACTTAAAATTTTTTTTGAAGTGATTAAAAAAATAATTTTCCTACATGAAGTGATTGTGTATTTTTTATAATGATTGATCTTTCAAAATTAGGTTTCAAGCCTAAGTGTTCTTGTTTTGGTCAATTTTGTTTTTTTTTTTATAGTGTTTCAAATTTCTTGTATTATCGTAGGTTTTGTTTTATTTTTCTTAAAATTTTTGGACTTTGAACTGTCTCTTGGTAGAGCTAAATTAAAAAGGCAATTCTTTTAGGTACTTAGACTTAATAGCATATCAAATTTGGGATAACATGAGTTTGACAAACATTATAAACTCAAAATGCTTAAATTTAACAGTCAGTTAAGTTTAAGCTAACATATGTAGATAGCATGGGCCTGACACACATATAAAATTCAAAGTAGCGTAAGTCTAGCATGGATGTTTAGACTTGGCAATCAGCCACATTTAAGATAATGATTATCCTCTCTTAACTCTAAGAGAATGATTGACTTCCTTTGGATCTAACCCCATGGAAAAACTCGGTCTTTGTAGGCTTAGCTAAATTTAACGTCTTAAACTCTATTTTTCTTACATCTTTTTAGATATATAAAAGTTTTTCAAAGACTCATCATATTTCTATCAGGTAATAAATATTTATCTCTTATTAAATATTATTAAGATAATTACATTGTGGATTCTTTTTTTTTTTAAAAAAAAACAAGATTTGTAGGTTATAAATATATATTAAAAGCTTTATAACAAAGGTTTACAATCTTCAATTTTTTATTATATTTATAATTTTAGAGTATCTTTTTAGAATATTCTTATATTTTATTTTTATCAAAAAATATTAATTTTATCATTGAAGGATCTTTAAGTCTCTCAATTAAGATTATTTTATTGTAGGTATCCAAGATATTCTTAGTGTATTTAAAATATTTTAAATTAAAAAATATCAAAATATTTTAACATATTAATAAACCACAATCCCTAACATCAAATACCCTTTTATTTTATATTCTTGAATTTTTAAACTTCATCATCTTCGTATTTCTTTCAAATGCTTGGCCCACTAGCTTCGCTGCTGGCAATACGTATCTTCTAGTCGAAGAACACTTGCCTACAGGTCTTTCTAGAAGAACATCCTCTCTCAACAAATGATTGATGTGCTTGGTTTGTTCTTTGTCTAGTCTTGGGTTCATTTCTTAATTGGTGTTTGGTATGCATCATAGATATTTTTTAAAATAATTTTAATTAAAAATAAATTAAATAATGTTTTTTAATTTTATTTTTAATATTAATAAATCAAAATAATCGATAAATAGTTAAATAATATCACTGAGATGTTTTTTAAATAAAAACTAAATTTAAAAATATTTTAAAAATCTTGAAAAAAAAATGAAATCATGAAAACAAACACTCTTAGAACTTGTTTATTTTTTTATTTTAAAAAAATTAATTTTTTTATTTGCTTAAAATTAAAACATATCAATTATAAGATACAAGATATTAAATAATAGAAGAAAACATTCAAGTTTAATATCATAAAATAATAATAAATTAGTTCATTGTATGGAGAACAATAAATTTATCTTAATAAAAAATTAAATAAAATCAATGAAATAAAACAATAAGTGATGCCTAATCCTTTAATCTCCCAACAACAATCTTTTAGCAATATTTTACTGAAAAAGTGTACTTGTAACATCTCTAATCTTATAGTTTTGAGTTTTCAGATTTATAGACAAATATAAATGCATCTCTTAACAATTTTTCTAAGTTTTTTTTATTGAATCTAAAAAGAGAGTTCCAAGAAATTAATTATGAATTTATATCAACTTTTGTATTAAAGTAATTAAATTATATTATAAAATTAATTTTGTTATTAATGCTGAGTTGAATTTAGAATTTACAATCTAAATAGTTAATTTGAATATGATTTTGTGAGTTTTTTTTATCTTTTTTTGATTCCAAAGATATTCATCTTGAAATTCCATTAGAAAAGAATATCACAAATAAAAGGCAAATATAGTGTCCTCTTATAGAGAAAGGAAAGAGGCCTCTAGGTTCCAATCAAAGAGCAGTCAAGGAATTCCCAAGCAGGAGTATGGTTTAATTATATGTGATCAACATGCCAAACCTCTTTAGTGCTGTCAAATCCATGTTCTTGATGATGACTTACCAAAAATAATTTTCAATAGTCGATGCTCCATAGAGTGTTCAAGGCACAAGCCACTCTCTCCCAGGGAAGCAATGATTTTTACAACTGGAAAAAACATTATCAGCACTGGCGTTGTAGACTGTCTGCCGAGGATAAGCATGAAATGTTTAAGTGAAGTTGATGCTGGAAGGAACCGGGTTAAAAAAACATTATCTACAGGATGCTGTCACTTCTGAAATGTTAATTTCTAAATCCAATATTTCATTATTTTTTTAATATTTTTAAATTATTTTAATATACTAATAATAAAAATAATTTTTAAATAAAAATAATTCTGAATTGTTAATTTCTATCACCCTCCCGAGCACTCCTTACATAAATAGCATGACGTCATTCCTTTACTATTAGGCAAAGGTTCCAATACCAAAATACAAAACAATCCCTAGAAGTCATAAAATCCTAATTTCATCCCCGGAATGATAGCAAATGGCTAGAAATCATAAAACATTCTCAATTGTGTTCAACAAACTTTCAGGATCTACTTCAATTTTCCTAAGAGAATGGGAAATAGTGAACGGGATCCTCGTTAGCTGCGGCCAATCACCCACGGTAATTTCTTCGAGAGAATTGCATTGAAGTCTTCCAGAATAAATGCTTTTCAAATTCGGTAATTTCTTCAATACCAAAACCCTCAATGTCGTGTCAAAACTACCATGAAGAGAGAGAAGCTCCTTTTCGTGTACCAAAACTTCACCACTTCCCATTATCTCCTGCTTGTTGTAACAATCTTCGACTACAATCACTTCCAATCGGAGTGTAGACAACAATCAAGGAGGGAGCAGCACGTTCGTCCGATGACATTTATGTATCACGATCTCTCTGAGGATGCTAAAGACACCAGCAGCACGTAGCTCTGAAGGTTCTGCTTCAAAAAGGGTTTCTAAGATCATCAAATCATCAAGGTGTAGAATCTCAAGCCCTTTAATTTCATATGATGGACATAAGGTTCTCATGTTTTGACAACTCACAAAAACTGCTTTTGTAATGAAGCCCGGGAACAGAAAAGTTGCATTGTCAATCATGAGGTCATAAAACCAAGCCTCTTTAATTAACCCTGACTTCGATCTTGTATAATTTAAATCTTCGAGTGAAGAGAAACAAGGTCGTCCTACAGTAACCTTGCATGCAATTAGTGAAGATCTCGGTTCTAATCGGCGGAAAAAACTGGCAGCGCTTAGATCACGGAAGTTGCATTCCAAAGTTTCCAAATCATATAATCCGGAAACATCACCTCCACTGACTGAGAGAACAACTTAGATTCCTGATGAAGCTTGAGGAACTGTAATTTGGAGAGTTTGGATAAAATACCCGGCAGTAAAACACGCACCACATTTTGATTTGTTAAGATATCAACTCAACAAGATAAAAAGATAAAGGACTGAATTAAATGAGAAATGACACATAAAAATTTACGTGGTTCACTTAATTGGGCTACGTCCATAGATAAGTATAGAAGGATTTTACTAAATAATATGAGAATTACAATATCTCAATACTAATAGAAAAACAATTAAAATCTCTCTAATAATAGGAGAAAACACCTCACTTACTATCTCACAAATACCTTACAATTTTGTGAGATACTCTCTCTTCACCCTCTCTTGTTTCTCTCTACTTGCTCTCAATTTTCTCTCTTGAATTGTTATATTAAAGCTTGGATGCTTTGTCTATTTATAGGCAAACATCCATACATGAATCAAGGGCAGCCATTGGTGCTACAAGTGGCACCAAATTGGTGCCCAACAATGTTGAATTTGTAGCACCAATTGGTGTCTAAGATTATTGACTTTGTCAATAATGCTTAGGTGGTTTCACATTCTTCCACTTAAAGACTTTGATAAATTAATCAAGTTTTCACACTTCATTATCTGTGATTCTTCTTCTATCTTTTCTATACTTGCCATCTTCATATTGCTTACATTTCTGCTAGACCGTAAGAGGATATAAACCATATATACTTATCAGTGTTGACCGATTTGGTCAAAGCATCTACCGAGTTTTCCTTTGTGTGAATCTTCTGAAAATCCACACTTCCATTTTCCACCATTTCGCGAACAAAGTGATACTGAATATCTATGTGTTTTGTTCTTGAATGAAATGTTGGATTCCATACAATATGTAAAGCACTCTGACTATCACAATACAAAAGAATATTCTCTTGTTTGTGCCTGAGCTCCTCCATAAGTTTCTTCTTCTATATTACTTCTTTACAAGCTTGTGTGGCTGTTATGTACTCAGCTTTTGTTATGAACAATGCTACAATAGTCTAAAGTTTAGAAACCTAGCTCACAGCTCCTCCTACAATTATGAATACATAGCCTGTAATGGATTTTCTTTTCTCAAGGTCACCAGCAAATTCTGATCCTCCATAACATAATGCAACATCTAAGGTACCTTTGATATATCTCAAGATCCTCTTAATAGTATTCCAATGCTCTCTACCAGGATTTATCATGTATTGACTAGCTGCTCCTACTGCTTGTGCAATGTTTGGTCTTATACATATCATAACAAACATTAAACTTCCCACTACTGATGCATACGGTACTCGAGATATCTCCATTCTCTCTGCTTCATTACTTGGAGACATACTTGAGGATAATTTGAAGTTAATAGAAAGTGGGGTGGAAATTGGCTTACAATCTTGCATGTTGAAGTGTCACAAGATCTTCTTCAAATAATTCTTTTGAGAAAGCCAAATCTTCCTCTTACTTCTGTCACTGTAAATTTGCATCCCTGAAATCTTGTTTGCTGGTCCTAAGTCCTTCATATCAAACTCCCTAGCCAACTGTGCCTTCAATTCTTGGACTCGATCTTTGTTGGAGCCTATCACCAACATGTCATCCATGTATAACAACAAAATGATGAAATCTTCTTCAAATCTATTGTAATACGTACAATGGTCTAAACTAAACCTGTTGTACCCAAGGTTAATTATGAAGGAATCAAATCTCTTATACCAACACCTCGGTGCCTGTTTGAGACCGTATAGAGATTTGTTCAACTTGCAAACCAAGTTTTCCTTGCCTGTTTTAGCAAAACCCTCTAGTTGGAGCATATAAAAATCTTCTTTAAGTTCTTCATGAAGAAATGCAGTTTTCAAGTCTAATTGCTCCAAGTGAAGATCTAATATAGCACACATTGCTAAGACTACTCTGATTGTAGTAAGTCGTACCACCGGAGAAAATATCTTATTGAAGTCTATTTCTTCTTTCTGAGCATATCCTTTTACCACCAATCTCGCATGATATCACTCCACTTAATCATTTCCATCACATTTTATCTTGTAAACCCATTTGTTGCCAATGTCCTTTCTTCCTTGTGGTAGTGGAACAAGATCCCAAGTATTATTCTTGTGCAAAGCTTCAATCTTCTCTTGCATTGTTGTCATCCACATAGATGCATTTGTGCTTTTGATAGTCTCATAAAAAGTTGATGGCTTTCCATCATGTGTTAGAAGATAATATGTAATGTTACTCTTAATAACATATTCTGAGTGTCAAGCTGGTGGTCTTCTTTCATGAGTCGACTGCCAAACTTCAGGAGTTTCAGACTCTGTTTGTTCTTGCTCTTCATGCTCTGGTACAACTTCAGAAGAAGCATGATTCTGAGTATTTTCCACATAGATTATTGCAATCTCCTTTAGAATGTTATTATGTTCTTCCATTTGTATTTTACCTTCTACAAATATGACATCTCTGCTGATGACTACCTTGTGGGTAGTGAGATCCCACAAGCGATACCCCTTCACTCTATCAGCATATCCCAATAATACATATTTTTTGAATTTTGAATCCAACTTGCTAACTTCTTATGCATTGTACATCACATACACAAGACTTTCAAATATAAGCAATTGAGAATAATTAGCTGGTTTTCTAGTCCACATCTCCATCGGTTTCTTTAGCTCAATTGCAGTTCATGAAGATCGATTTATCACATAACAAGCAGTATTAACTGCTTCTATCCAAAATGACTTTCCTAGACCTACAACCTTCAACATTGCTCTTATTCTTTTTAATAGAGTTCTGTTCATCCGCTCTACCACTCCATTTTGTTGTGGAGTGTATGCCATTATGAACTACCTTTTAATACCTTTATGTTGACAAAAGTTATCAAATTCATCACTGGTATATTCTCTTCCATTGTCAATCCTCAAACACTTGATCTTCTTTTCAGATTCAAGTTCCACTCGCGCTATGAAAGTTTTAAAGACTGTAAGCACATTTACCTTTTTTCTAATTGGATATACCCAACATCTCCTAGAGAAGTCATCTATGAATGATACAAAGTATCTTGCTCCTCCCAAGGATACAACCGGTGCTTGCCAAACATCAGAGTGAATCAGGTCTAAGATGCATTTGCTCTTAGTTGTCTTGCTCCTCCCAAGGATACAACTAGTGCTTGCCAAACATCAGAGTGAATCAGGTCTAAAATGTATTTGCTCTTAGTTATTGATGTGCCAAACTTTAACTTGTGTTGTTTACTTGTAATACAATGCTCATAAAAAGGTAAAGTAACCTTTGTAAGCCTAAGGAATAACTTCTGATCAGAGAAAACCTTTAAACCTTTCTTTGACATGTAACCTAGTTTTTTATGCTACATCATTGTTTTCTCTTCTGCAGCACTGACTGATGTGATTGACGCTTCTGCCTCATGATGTGTTTCTCCCATTAATGTAAATATATTTGCAACTGTTTTTCTTGCCTTTTAAACCACCAACGCTCCTTTGATGATTTTCATGATTCCATTATCTATTCGGATCTTACAACCAAGACTATCAAATTGTCCTATGGGCAAAAGATTTTTCTTTAAGTTTTTCACATGTTGCTTTTCTGAAATAGTATGAATTATGTCTCATACATCTTCAATTTGATGGTATCAATGCTAACAATCTCTAAAGCATGATTATCACCTATGAACACTTTGCCTCTAGAGATGGGTTCATATGTATGGAACCAATCTAGATTAGGAGTCATATGCCATGTTGCTCCTGAATCCATTAGCCATATTTTAGTGAGCTCTTCTCTATCTGTAGAGATTGTTGTTACTTCATTATATAAAACCTCTCCATATTCTGAGGTGCTCGTAACACATCCTTGATATTTTGATGACTCTGCACTATTCTCTATACCCTTTTTAAACCAACAATTCTTTTTAAAGTGCCCTTTTTTGCTATAGTTGTAGCATTTCATAGTTTTCTTACTTCTTAATTTGGACCTCCCCTACCTTTGACTCCCTAAAGCCACGCTTCGTTGATCTTCCTCTTGATACCAACAATGCCTCTGCTTGGTTTGAACTGTTTCTATCTCTTTTGTTTTTACGCCTATTTTCTTCTTCCAAGATAGTGGCTACAACATCGTCAAAGACTAAATTGTCTGAAAGGATATTATTGGTCAAGTTGATAATGAGTTTATCATACAAATCAGGAAGACTTTGAAGTAAAAGCTCTGCACGTTCATTTTCCTCTATTTGCTGACCCAATGTAGTGAGTTGTGAAAATAGAGTTCTTATTGTGTTGATGTGGTCAGTCACCGATGTGGTTTCTGCCATTCGAGGGGTATAAAATCTCTGCTTTAAGAAAATCTTATTGTATAAAGACTTGGACTCGTATAGCTTTATTAGAGTCTCTCATATCTCCTTAGTTATTTTCTTCTCCGTCATACTTGATAATACTTCATCGACTAATGTTAAATGTATGTTAGCAATAGCATTGTCATCCATCTCATTCCATTTTGCATTATCAGTGATCTCTGCGGGCCGATCCCCAATTCCTGCTAAGCAATTGTCTTTCCTTAATATTACCTTGATTCTCATTTTTTACAGTGAGAAATTGCTCCCATTAAACCTCTCAATCTCGTACTTTGCTGCCATTGTATTCACCGAGATCTATTCAGCTATCATCGTTTCATAGATCTGTAACGTATATAGAAATAGTATTGTGTGAATAATATTTCACTAAGTAAGTTCCTAGGAAAGATTAGAGGGGTCACAAACAGTCCCGCTTAAAACTTAATCTCCTTAGACAGAACTTCCTAGACTGTATTTAATCACCGCACTGACTTTCTATATATGTCAATAGTAACGTATATGAATAGTACCGTATGGATGAATAGTGTTGTAGACATGAATAGTAACTGTATACACGAACAACACCAACCAGAAGGCTTTAATACCACTGTTAAGATACTGACATGCAAACCCGACAAGATAAAAAGGTAAAGGACTGGATTAAATGAGAAATGACACACAAAAATTTACATGGTTCATCCAATTGGGTTACATCCATAGGCAAGTATAGAAGGATTTTACTAAGTAATGTGAGAATTACAATATCTCTCTACTAATAGGAGAATAATTAAAATCTCTCTAATAATAGGAGAAAATACCTCACTTACTATCTTACAAATACCTTATAATTTTATAGGATACTCTCTCTTCACCTTCTATTCTTTCTCTCTACTTGCTCTTAATTTTCTTTTTTAAGTTGTTATATTAAGGCTTGGATGTTTTCTTATAGACAAGCATCTATGCATGAGTCAAGGACAACAATTGATGCTGCAAGTGGCATCGAATTGGTGCCCCGCTATATTGAATTTGCAACACCACCAATTGTTACCGAATATTATTGACTTTGTCAACAATGCTTAGGTTGTTTCACATAATCATGATTAAGATAACTGAGATCCTTCAGCCTTTTCATTCCCTCGGGCAAATCTTCAAGTCCAGTGTAACTGAGATCCAACTTCTCCCATGATGGTACATAACTCAGCTTTGCACACCATCCCAGCAACAATGCAGTGAGACTCGTCAGATGAAAAATAGAATCCGGCAACTTCTCTATATTTGTGTCGGAAAGATCAAGAACCTTGAGTCCGATGAGATACTGGAAAAAAGAATCCGCAACCAAATTCAATTTGTAGTTTCTGCATAACAATAATGTTGAGAGACGGCCACATTGGTGAAAAGTCTGCTGGAATATTCTCGATTCTATTTTCCATGAGTGAAACTCTTAACAGTTCCTCTCTCCAGCATCTTTCATCGGGTAATTCTGTTAGTTGTGCACCTGCTTGAACCATATCACCCCCGCTTTCTTTCATTATTTTCACAGCCATATCCCTAATTAAATCATGCATCTTGACATATCTGTAATTTTCATCATCCCTGGAACCTTCTAATAAGCTGGCATTTTCAAGTTGATTAAGCATGGTATGGCCCCCATCAAATTGTGCTTGCCTACTCCCCATTTCCTTGACTATACCCTCATCAATCAAATACTCTATCAAGTCCTCTCTCCTGATCTTCTTGTCTTTTGGAAACAATGCACAATATAAGAAGCAATCTTTAATCGCTTTATGTTTTAACTGAACATAGCTAAATTTCAATATCTGAAATACATCAGTTTCTGTGTCCGTGTTCCAATTTCTGAACTTGCCGGTTCCCGCAATGCATCTCTCCACTGTGATACATCATCCACTCCCCTCATGCTTGCAGCCGTTGTCATGATTCCGAGAGGCAAACCAGAACACTTCTTCACAATAGACACTGCAGTTTTTTTCCTTTCAGGACAAAGTGTAACACCACACCCTAATCTGTCTATGAACAAATCCCAAGCCTCACCATAGAAAGAGGCTCCACTTTGATTATCCTTTGGCAATCCATTTTTCGACATGTGTCCAATGATCTAGTTGTAAGAATCAGCTTACACCCATCTGTTTTAAGAGGTATTCCCACTTTATCAAGAGGAAAATGATTCCACAAATTATCAATAATTAAAACACATTTTGTCACACTCAATGTTGTCCACAGCTCCCCGGCTCTATTCACCAGATCTTTTCCATTCCCAAGATATAAACCAAAAGCTTCGGCAATGAGATCCTGCAATGCGTGAACGCTAAAATCTTGAGGCACAGAAATCCAACAAACACGAGGAAAAATGTCTGGTTTCTCTTGAAGCTGATTGTGGATATGCGTAGCCAAAGTTGTCTTTCCAATTCCCCCCATCCCGTAAATGCCAATGCATAAGACCGCATCATTCAACAACCAAGAGCAGAGATCCTTCATATTTCTTTCAAACGCTTGGCCAACCACTAGCTTCGTTGTAGGCAATACATATCTTTTATTTATTTATTTTAAAAGCATATATTTTAATCTAAATATAAAATAATTATATATAGATTAAATTTAAAATATTTTTTATTTTTAATAAAAAATAAAATAAATATTTTTTAAGATTCTCTCAAACTCACTATGTGCCAACTAGTACAAACTAGCAACTTAAAAAAAAAATTTACAATAAGTAAAAAAAAAAGATAAAAAACAAAATAATAATGTTTTTGAGAAAATTTAATTTTTAATGAGTGAACTAAATATATTGAGATTAATTATTACAACTTAATAAAAAAAATTTAAAATAAGTAAAAATAAAATAAAAAATGAAATAATAATGTTTTTGAGATGATAACAAGTACAATAATAATTAATTTCAATATATTTAGTTTATTCATTAAAAATTAAATTATAAATAATACAAATAAAACTATAATTATTAAAATTCACAGAAATAGAATAAGAAATTTTTTATTGAACTCCTATTAAAAAAAAAATTTCTTTTTTTTAGCTAAAATGTAATTATCAAATCATTTGTTTTCTCCTAAAACTTTTGTTATAACTTTTTTTTAATATTCTAAAATTAAAATATAAACAAAATAAAGTTATTATCAATCTCTAAAACGATAGGAATCAAATAACAAAAAAATTTGAAACTTCAAAGATTAAATTAAAATTTTTCACGTCAAAATCTCAATGATAGTTAAATTTGGTTTTTGTTTCTTTTAATTTTTTATTTTAAACTACAATTAAATTTTAAATTTACAAAATCAGAAACAGACTCAAATTTAAATATCCTTATTAAAACCAAGCGTGCAGGAGATAATGTAAATCAAAAGAAATACAAACAAATGATACCGTGATAATATAACTCTAAAGGATAAAATTGTAAAACTCAAAAGTTCAATAGTCAAAATAAAAAATACACTGTTCTTACCAAACAGATGAATCCACAATAAAATAAGTGTACAATCAAATCCACGACGAAAGCATAGTAAAAGATTCTTATGTTCAAGCTATTTCTGTAATAATCTCTAACTGTAATTTGAGTTCGTCACCCAATTGTAAGCTACACGTTCGTCTGTGATTGTCAGTTTTCTATTCAGACATTCTGTGAATAGTCAGTCAAAGTGAAATACAAGAAAACAAATCCCTCTCTCCTCTGCCCGCTCTGTAAACTCTCCTTTTAGGTAGCCATTACTGCGGCCACCAAGAAACACCTACCCTCCTCCGCTAAGCCACCCAAGAACCACCACTCCACCCCCAACACCACCACCACAACTACCCCACAACCTAACATCACTCAAAACCCTGACCCAACCACTAATCCATCACCACTATCTCCCACCCTCAAAGACCAGGTTTTGTCACGCGCCACCCACATCACGCGCCAAGAACTCCTCAAAAGAAGGTCTTACAAGCTAAAACAACTCTCAAAATGCTTCAAAGATCATTACTGGGCATTAATGGAAGAACTCAAGATTCAGTACAGAGAGTACTATTGGGAATATGGTGTCAGCCCTTTTCAAGAAGACCACCAAAACACCCTTCAAAAACAAGAACAGCAGAAACAGGGTGGTGGGATTGGCGTTCTAGAGAGGGAGAATGAAGAGAGTGGGGCTAATATTGAAGTTATTGGTGAAAATAACACTAATGTTAGTGATTTGAAGAGTAATCATAGGTGTCTGTTTGTTGGGTGTAAGTTAAAGGCTATGGCTTTGACAAGTTTTTGTCATCTTCATATACTTTCTGATGCAAAGCAGAAGCTCTACAAGCCTTGTGGTTATGTTATCAAAAGGTTTCATCTTGCGTTACCTTTAATTTTTGGATTATAAAGCTTATTTCTTTGATGGGTATTTGTATTTTTTGTGGGGTTTTGATTGTTTGGTTTCTATAAGATTGTTTTGTGTTAGTTAAATTTTTAGATGGGTTTTGGTATGTCTTGTTATGCTTGGATGCTTGGGATTTGCCATTTTTTTTAGTGGTTGCATTTTCGTGTTTGCCATTTTTTTTAGTGGTTGCATTTTGGTGCAAGATTAGTTTGCCATGGACCAATGAGGAAGTTTGGAGGACGTAAATTGAATGAGCTTGATTAAGATTGTGTAGGAATTCGTTTATATGTACTTGGCATGAGGGATTTGGAAAAAAACGTGTCATGAATCATGAAGGATCTTTAAATTCATAGCATTTAATTACCTGAGAATTGCTTGTGACCAAGATATTTTGGGGTTTAATTAAGATTGTGTAGGAATGCTGCATGATTTTAAGCCGGGATTTTAATCCTTAATTATGTACAGATTTTGCTAATGTGTGAAAAAGTGATATGAAGTGTCTGTTTGTCCTCTTGCTTCGAGCAACGATTATGGAACTATTTGAAATACTAGAAAGTTGTGATTTTTTCATGCTACGATTTGTATTTTTTCAGATTAATGTGGTGTCCGGTAAGCTTCCACCCACTAGACTAATCCCACAGGCTTCTTTTTATTACATTAGTTCTGGATTTAGTGGGACCAGACTTAGAAGCATAAAACTTTGTTTCATGGAATACATTATGCTTTGACCTTACAAGTCGAAAATAGCCTTCAGATGCCATCATGGTAGATAACATGATGGCATCCATGATAACTGTTACATGTTCTTCATATTAATTATCGTATTTGTCTCCAGCAGAGTAATATTTTGGCTACAAATTAACAAGAGACTATCACAGGGATTATATAAACAAGTTGATGCATGAAAAGACGAGTTCTCTATTTATAGGTAGCCACTACAAGTAGCTTTGGAGACCACAAATACAAGGCAAGTCTCTCTAATAATCCTTCCACTACAAGTAGCTTAGGAGATAGAAAATAGCGATTTTATTTACTCTCACAGGGATTCTGAACAGAGGGGCTTAATTTCATTTTCTTCCACCGACAATGCCTTCTTGACAATCGATCTAGCGTCACCATTTGCGCATTACCGTACCTCGCAGAAGCCACGAGGAAACAATCACAACCATAATGGGTGCTGTGAAATGAATATTGAATCGGATGGATGAATTTGATGCAGAAATCTTCTCTCTCCAAAACAAAACAAAAATGAAAAGTAGAGAGGAGAAAATGGAGCTTGCTTACCGGTCATGTCATTTCACCAGAGCGCTCTGCTTCTAACTGTGCAATACATCTTGGGGGTAAGAGGCAAGGTCTTTCAAATGCTCAACTGTGTTCAACAAACTTTCAGGATCTACTACAATTTTCTTAAGAGAATGGGAAATAGTGATCGGGAGGGCAATCACCCACAGTAATTTCTTCGAGAGAATTGCATAGAAGATTTTCAAAATAAATGCTATTCAAATTTGCATAGAAGATTTTCAAAATAAATGCTATTAAAATTTGGTAATTTCTTCACCAAAACCCTCAATGTCCTATCAAAGCAAGAAAATATCCTCTGATGGGTGCCCCCCTCTTCATCTGTTCCCACTGTCTCCATTCCATCACATTCTTCAAGTCCAATCACTTCCACTCGGAGTCTAGACAACAACCAAGCAGGGGGCAGCTCCTTCAATCTATGACATTTGTGTATCACGATCTCTCTGAGTTTGCAAAAGACACCAGCAGTACCTAGCCCTGAAGGTATTTCAAAAAGGCTTTCTAAGATATACAAGCAGGGAGCAGCACCTTCAATCTATGACATTTCTTCTACGAGATATTCCCTTCTCTGGAAGAAAATCATCCCACAAATAATAAAAAATGATAACATGGTTTTGTATCGCACTCAATGCTGTCCATAGCTCCCCAGCTCTACTCATCACATCGTTTCCTTTCGGAAGACAAACCAAAAAGCTTAGGCAATGAGATCCTCTAATGCGTGAATGCTAAATTCTTGTGACATATATAGTAATCCAACACACATGAAAAAAATGTCTGGTTTCTCTTAATATGTCACTTCCTGCTGGAGCTAATTGGTGTTTGTGAGGGGAGAGGGTCGTTTTTTCAGGAGTGACGTTCTTTCTCTCTTTCTTGGATATTTTCTTATTTTTTGGGGGCTGTTGTAGGGTATTTAAACCTTTTGCCTTTCTTTTACCTTTCTACTTGGTCGGTTCTCAATGCTGTGCATTTGTTCTTGTTTCTCAGGTTTTGTTTTGGTTGGTCCACCGGATGATAATTTCGTCAGTGTCTTTAGCAGAATTAGTGGTAAGTTTACTGTCTTATTTTAGAGAGGGGTAGCTATAACAGACATGGTGTGTTGCAGGTTTCCTTTTTCAGCCTTTACTTTCTCTGATTGCTCAGGTTTTTGTTTTGTTTTCCAACTTTTTTTTCTCTCTAACCTTGCTTGACCTGTGCCTTTGTTGTTTGTGCTTTGCTCTGTTAGTGGCTTTAGTTTTTAATAGTTTAGTTAAGGAGGGCCTGCTGTGGCCTTTGTCAGCCCCTTTCAAGTTTGCTATTTTTCTTTGTCCTTGATTGCAGTTTGTGTTTTTGTTGGTTTTACTTGCATTTATGCTTGGTTTATGGATTTTGATAGATGCTCTCATAATTTCTCCCTACTGTTGTGCCCTGCTTTATCGATTTATAAGAGTGGGTTGAAAAGAGATGCGAGGCAAAATCTTTTGCAGGTAGGACTCTTTATCCTGCTGTTCCCTTGGTTGAAACAGTCAATGTTTGCATTTTTCTTTTGTGTTTATAGTCATTTACTCAGGGACAAGGGCTGTGATGGCACCTTTGAATGTCAACTGTGGAACTGTCCTGGTTGGTTTTCATTTCATGAACCATGCACAATGATGTTTGGTTGCTTGCTTAGCCTATGCTTCCTTTTTTTCCACACCTATGTTTTTTCTTCGAGTTTCCTGTTGTTTTTTGGCTGACCCGAGTGCTTTTATCCTCGGCTCCTGCTTTTTGCTGTGCTGGTGAGCCTCCCCAATCCTCTCCTTTGTACACTATTCCTTTGCATTCTTTTTAGGTCTGCATAATTATCAACCTTCTTAGAGACGATAAGGTACACTGCATTAGTAATTAAGAACTTCGAAGGTGAATTGACAGAAAAGAAGAAGCTAGTACTAAACCAATAAGTTTACACATAATCCATGAACCTAACTGGTCACAACAATTTCCTTCATTATTGCTCACTAATATGTTATTACTGAAAAGTGTAAATTTCTGATCACTCGATTTCTGAGATGGCTGCCAACTCTTGGTGAAGACGTCTCGCTGGCATGCGGCCTGCACTTGTTCTCTTAGGGACAGAGGAGCTGAAAGGATCGGGAGGCTTTGTTAAGTTTTCTCCTTCCCCTTCAAGCATTTGGACAACAGTTTTCATGGAAGGACGCTCTGCTGGGTTCCACTGAATGCACCACAGCCCCACAATTGCTAGTTTCTTTGCAATTTTAGCATCTTCTTCTCCATCGATATGAAACCGCAGGTCTTCTTCCTTTTCTAAGAGATTATAAATCCATTCCGGGAAGTATATCTGGTCGCCATTTTCTGCTGTATCATCGACGTTCTTCCTTCCTCCAACCATTTCCAACACCAACATCCCAAAGCTGTAAACATCTGATTTATAGGAAACGTTCCCGAAGTTCCTCGATAACACTTCTGGGGCAATGTAGCCAACAGTCCCCCTAGCAGTCGTCATGGATATGGCACTTTTATCCTTGGAACACAGCTTAGCCATCCCAAAATCGGCGATTTTGGGATTGAATTCATTGTCAAGCAGGATATTCTGTGGTTTGATATCAAAATGGAGGATTCTTTGATCACACCCCTGGTGAAGATATTCAATCCCCTTGGCTATGCCTAGAGCAACACGATTCAACCTTTCCCAGCCAAGGAAATGGTTCCTTGAGTCTGCTGAGGATATGAACTTCTGTAATGAATCATTTGGCAAGTACTCGTAAACTAGAGCTCGTCTAAATCCATCAGCACAGAAACCGATCAAGCGAACAACATTGACATGGTGGTTCCTTGCCACTATTTTTTTTTAATTATTTTTTTAATTTAATTTCTTAATATTAAATTTTTTTTGTTTAATTATTAGATTTTTATGACATAATGTTAGATTTGACCGGTTAACCCGATTGATTTAGATTTTTTTTTTCATTACTTTTATTTTTTCGATTTCATCTTTTAATATTGTATGCAGTCCATGATGAAAAAACTAATATTTTTAGTTTTTTTTATATATTTTGTTATGGACTACACAATACAATTCACGGTGACATAACTTTACAGCAAATCCATATCCAAAATTATTGAATTTGGTATTACAATTAGACCCATTTAAATTTGAATTTTTTAAATTTAATATTATTATAAATATTACTTTTAATTTCAGCATTATAGTTAAAGCTAAAACTATTGAATATAATTTTATAAAAAAACCTTATATTTTTAAATTTTAATTTATTAATATTTTTTATATATACAAATTATCCTATTATATCACACGGGTCATTTAACTCGTCTATAAACATGTCATGTTATGCCATCCCATGCCACATACTCATTTAAGGCTTGACACATTGGTCAATTATTTTATATTTCAGTGTTTTGTGACATTAACAATGAAGTCACTGATTGAAACATGGGTCCACACTCTTACTAGTTTCTCTCATGACGAAGACAGTCCCCCGTGCGCACTCAAGTTAATGATGAAGAATTGGAGGGTTTTTGGTTATTACGTGTCAATGAGTTGTTGGTCTCCACAACATTGGAGGTGCCATCATATCTTTTTTTCTTTTTTAATGATTTGAGCGTGATAGCGTGTGTTATTGTTGGATTATCGGTGATTTTTTTTTTAATATTTTTGATATTTAATATTTTAATTTTGTTCTTATTTATATATAAAAATTTTATTTATTTTCAATTCAATTTTTTATATGTTTTTATTTCAGTTTTTATTCTATTAATTTTTTTATTTTCTCATTTGATACTTTTATTTAAAACTTTAACCGCTTTCAATAAAGTTTGTCGGTGGTCAGACACCCTCCGACACAACCTGTGGAAATATATGCTCTTTCTTTTTTGTTCTTTTCCGTGGTCCACTACCTTTAATTTCTTTTCCGTGGAATTTTTAGTTTTTTTAAATAAAAAATTAATAGCATGTAATAAGGTCCATGCCATTTAAATGACATGTACAGCACCTCTAAATAGCTAAACTTAATCTTTCAATATTCTTTAGAAGTGGTATTATATTTTATTTTTATGATGTGGCGTGTGATGATATATAGTTATCAGATTGTTGTTGATTCTTTTTTCTTTTTTTGGTATTTTAGTTTTAATTTTTATTTTTTTGATTTTTGATTTTGTTTTTATTCTTTACATAAAAAATTTATTTTTTTTCAATTTAACCTTTTAATTATAATTTGTTATTTTTTTTCATTTTAAACCTTGTTTTTTTTTTAATTTTTTTATTAAAATGTTTTTTGATTTCAATAAAAAATGTAAGAGGTAAGACACGCTCCGCAACAACCTGTGCTTCAACAACAAAAATATGAGGTCTTTTCTTTTTCTTTTTTGTCATTGGTTCTCGAGCCACGAAACAAATAATCTTTTTCCTTATTGAAGCGTTGGTCCACCACTCTTAAATTTTTTCACCGTCAAGTATCAAGTCATGATGCGGGTAAATTAACCGAACATTCACCTTAATTTAAAAAAAAAAACATCCATCTTAATCTAAAAAAAAAAACTTAATAGAAATAGACCCTTGAGATTGCTATCCTATCCATCAAAATCCTTCAAAATTATGCGTTACATTGATTTTCTTCGCAACTGAAGTAAGTTAGACTGGATTGCCTCCATATGATGAATAAAAAACAAATAAAATCACGGAAACAAACATTCCTAAATACTTGTTTATTTTTATATTTTAAAAGGATTTAATTTTTTTATTTGCTTAAAATTCAAAAACATCAATTACAAGATATTAAATAATAGAAGAAAACATCCAGTTTAACATCATAAAATAATAATAATAAATTAGTTCATTGTATAGAGAATATTAAATTTTTCTCAATAAAAAATTAAATGAAATCAATCATATAAAAGTGAAATAAAACAATAAGTGATGCCTGATCCTTTGATCTCCCAGCAACAATCTTTTAGCAATATTTTGTTGAAAAAGTGTACCTCTAATCTTACAGTTTTTTTTTAGTTTTATTGTCTTGATTTGTATTCTATCATTTGAGTTTTCAGACTTGTAGGTAAACAAAAATGCATCTAGCAACAATTTCTCTAAATTTTTTTTATTAAATCTACGAAGAGAATTTCAATAAGTTAATTATAAATTTATATAAACTTTTATATTAAAACAATCAAATTATATTATAAAATTGATTTTAATATTAATACTATGTTTAACTCAGAATTTGTGATTTAAATGGTTAATTTAACCATCATCTTGGAGAGTTTTTTTATCTTTTTTGATCTGAAAGATATTTATCTTGAAAATTTTATTAGAAAAGAATATCATAAATAAAAAATAAATTTTAAATTGTTTTAAAAATATTTTTAAAACACAAATATATATATATACACACACACACAGAGAGACAGTCCCAGACAGTCAGTATTGTCATTGACATGGTCTTGATGATGACTTACCAAAATAATTTTCAATTGCTCCGTAGAGTGTTCAAGGCACATGCCACTCTCTCCCAGGGAAGCAATGATTTTTAGTCCGAGTTATCATGCGCGTGCTTGAAAGTTTTTTTGTCCCGTAATTGCAGCAAAATTTGCATTTTGCACCTAAAACGATCGATAGCAAAAACAATCTGTAATTTTTCTTGCAAAGATCTGTAAAGTAATTATAACATCTGGGCTTGGATTTAGAACTTCTAAATGAATAATAGAAAAGAAAAGAGAAGAGAAGAAAGAAAGCTAAGCTTTACATTATCAGCACTGGCGTTGTAGACTGTCGTCTGCCCAGGATAAATATCAAATGTTCGAGTTAAGTTTTCTGTCACCCTCCCGAGCACTCCTTACATAAATAGCATTACATAAATAGCATGACGTCATACCTTTACTATTAGGTAAAGGTTCCAATACCAAAATACAAAACAATCCCTAGAAATCATAAAATCCTAATTTCATCCCCGGAATAATAGCAAATGGCTAGAAATCATGAAACATGATCAACTGTGCTCAACAAACTTTCAGGATCTACTTCAATTTTCTTAAGAGAATGGGAAATACTGAACGGGATCCTCGTTAGCTGCGGGCAATCACCCACAGTAATTTCTTCAAGAGAATTGCATAGAAAACTTCCAGAATAAATGCTATTCAAATTCGGTAATTTCTTCAATACCAAAACCCTCAATGTCGTATCAAAACTATCAGAAGGAGAGAGAAGCTCCTTTTCACGTACCAAAACTTCACCACTTCCCATTATCTCCTGCATGTTGTAACAATCTTCAACTACAATCACTTCTAATCGGAGTGCATCCAACAACCAAGGAGGGAGCAGCACCTTCATCCTATGACATTTATGTATCACGATCTCTCTGATATTGTAGAAGACACCAGAACTACCTAGCTGTGAAGGTACTTCAGAAAGGGTTTCTAAGATTATCAAACCATCAAGGTGTAGAATCTCAAACCCTACAAATAAAAAACATGGACATAAGGTTCTCATGTTTTGACAACTCACAAAAACTGCTTTTGTAATGAAGCCCGGGAACAGAAAAGTTGCATTGTCAATCATGAGGTCATAAAACCAAGCCTCTTTAATTAACCCTGACTTCGATCTTGTATAATTTAGAACTTCGAGTGAAGAGAAACAAGGTCGTCCTACAGTAACCTTGCATGCAATTAGTGAACATTTCAATCTACTACGGAAATATCGGAAATCTTCTAGATCACGGAAGTTGCATTCCAAAGTTTCCAACCAATGCAAGCTGGAAACTTCATGTCCGCTAACTGAGAGAACAACTCCAGGTTTCTGATGAAGCTTGAGGAACTCTAAGTGTAAGAGTTTGGGTAAAATACCCGACCGTAAAACACGCACCCCACTTCCATCAAGATTAAGATACCTGAGATCCCGCAGCCTTTCCATTCCCTCGGGCAAATCTTCAAGTCCAGTGTAACTGAGATTCAACTTCTTCAATGCCGTAAGCTCTGCTAATGATGGTACATAACTCAGCTTTGCACACCATCCCAGCAACAATGCAGCGAGACTCGTCAGATGACAAATAGATTCCGGCAACTTCTCTATATCTGTGTCGGAAAGATCAAGAACCTTGAGTTTGATGAGGTGCTGGAAAAAAGAATCCTCGACCAAATTCAATTTGTAGTTTCTGCATAACAATAATGTTGAGAGACGGGGGCACATTGGTGAAAAGCCCGTTGGAATATTCTCGATTCTATTTTCCATGAGTGAAGCTCTTAACAGTTCCTCTCTCCACAATCTTACATCGGGTAATTCTGTTAGTTGTGCACCTGCTTGAACCATAGCCTCCCCACTTTCGTTCAATATTTTCCAAGCCATATCCCAAATCAAATCATGCATCTTGACATATCTGTAATCTTCATCGTCCCTGGAACCTTCTAATAAGCTGGCCTCTTCAAGTTCATCAAGCATGGTATGGCCCCTATCAAATTGTGCATGCCTTCTCACCATTTCTTTGACTATCCCCTCGTCAATCAAATACTCTATCAAGTCCTCTCTCAAGATGATCTTGCCTTTTGGAAATAGTGTGATACGTAAGAAGCACTCTTGAAGTGCTGAATAGTTCAACTGAGCATAGCTAAATTTCAATACTCGAAATACATTGGCTTCCATCTCACCCGGTCCAACTTCTAATCTTCTCAGTTTTAGCAATGCATCTCTCCAACGATATTCACCATCCACTCCCTTCATGCTTCGAGCCATTGTTATGATTCCAAGGGGCAAACCATCACACTCCTTCACAATAGACTCTGCGATCTCAGGATAAAGTACACGCCCTAATCTGTCTTTGAACAGATCCCAAGCCTCATCCTTAAAAAGAGGCTCCAGTTTGATTATCTTTCGGCAATCCATTTTTCGACATGTGTCCAATGATCTAGTTGTAAGAATCAGCTTACACCCATCTGTTTTAAGAGGTATTCCCACTTTATCAAGAGGAAAATGATTCCACAAATTATCAATAATTAAAACACATTGTGTCAAACTCAATGTTGTCCATAGCTCCCCGGCTCTATTCACCAGATCTTTTCCATTCTCAAGATATAAACCAAAAGCTTCGGCAATGAGATCCTGCAATGCGTGAACGCTAAAATCTTGAGGCACAGAAATCCAACAAACACGAGGAAAAATGTCTGGTTTCTCTTGAAGCTGATTGTGGATATGCGTAGCCAAAGCTGTCTTTCCCACCCCCCCCATCCCCCAAATGCCAATGCATGAGACCTCATCATCCAACAACCAAGAGCAGACATCCTTCATGTTTCTTTCCATAGCTTGGCCCACTAGCTTTGTTGTCGGCAATACATATCTTCCAGTCCTACGTTTCTTATGTACAGGCCTTTTAGAAGACGGTTGTCTCTCAACAACAGACTGCATCAATTCCGGACTCGTGGCCAGTCTACCAATTCTTAACTCAAAATCCCTCATTGATGAGGATGAGATGTTATTCAAGTTCATTTCAAATGACTGATGTGCTTGCTCTGTTCTTTGTCTAGTCTCGGGTTCATATGGCATAAGAATGACAGGAGCTCTAGGTTCCTCGACAAGCTCAGTCTCCCCCCCAATCAGAAAACCCTTCTGTCCTCGTTCATCCGAAAGAGGTTGTTCTTCTTGTTCCATTTCTAAGCCCCGCAAAGCAGTTGAAGCTGCCTTAATTGCCTCGCTATTGCTTGAACTTGGCACACTCTTATCTACAGGCATTTTAGAACAGCTTCCTCTCTCGGTACCAGCCCGCATCAATTCCCGACTCTCTATACCACTGCTTAACTCAACATCCCTCGTCAATGAAGATGTGAAGTTATTCATATCCGTTTCAAATGCTTGAACTGCTGGCTCTATTCCCAGTCCAGTCTCAGGTGCATCGGGCATATGCATGCCAAGAGCTGCGTTTTCCTCGGTAAACACAATCTCTCCCCCAATCATCTCATCCATCCATGACAGTCCATCATCCAAAGGAGATTGTCCTTGTTGTTGCATTTCTAAATCTTGCGCAGGATCTGAATCTGCAGTCACTGTTATATTATTGCTTGAACTTGGCATACTCCCATGCATTCTCTTAGGAAGCTTACCAAGCGCTGCTCGTTGAACATCTGGAGCTACTTTTTCACAAATTTTAACACCACCACCTCCAACTCCTGCCAGATGATATTTCATCCTTGTAGTGGAAGTACTTCCAGCCAATGTCTTCTCACAAAAAATGCACTTCAATAAACCACCATCCACTTTCTCAAAATATATCTGAAATGGATCACTTCCTCCAACCATTTTTTCTTCTGTGTCCCTACCTACAGACATAACAAAGAACTTTCAGAATATTGAATTAAAATGGAACTTAAACTAATTGAAAAAAAGAAGCAGCTAAGTTTAACATTAAAAAAAAAAATTGGTTACAGGTGTTTCACTGTCTAAACCAAAGTCAAGTTAAACCACTCCAAAGATCAAAGTGTTCTTTTCTTTTTACTTTCCCAATAATTCTACAACTGGTCATATCAGTAATTTAATAACCAGTATGTTTCCTTTTGCTTAGAAGAATCAAACTACATAAGTTGGAAAAGAAATGGTATGAAAAAAGAGCTAAAATTAATCAAACTTAATTACCTGAACAGCAGAAGCAGCAAGATGTTATACAATGGTTTGATTACCTAGAGAGCGGTATCTTCACAAATGGAGAGGCTTGTGTCTTCGTAGCTGGTAGAAAAAAGAGACAGAGGATGAGAGACAACTAAGAGGGAGACTACCCGTTTGCTTGCTGGTTTTGGATAGTGGTTTCAAAAAAAAAAAAAGTTTATTTCCAGAAAATAAATTATTTATATTACCTATAATATATAGATTTTTATTTTTCTTCCTTTGTGTCCTCCATGAGAGGGAAACAGAGGATTTTTATTTTTATTTATCCAAAAAACACTAAAGTATAAAACAAGAATGATATAGGTAGCCCGTTTAGATTTATTTGTGAAGTACATATGTCCTCCATATTTTATTTTATTTTTGATATAAGATAACTCATTCTTTAAAATTTTAACAATTTTATTTCTATTTTAAATTTTATTTCTATTATTTTTAAATTATTAATGGGTGAGAGTCGAGAAAAAAAGAAGGCTAGAATCCGGTCTAAAGAGAAAAAAATATTATTTTTTCGATTCCAACCACCAAAATGTTAGATTTTTGTTTCAGATGGTTTTATATAACGGAGTGTTTTTTTTATCTTTGAAGTGCCTAAAAAATCAAATATGAGATCATAAAGAAATTAATTTTTGGGTTGATTTTGAGTTTTTAGTTGATTTTTTCATGCTTTTAAAGGTTAATAATTGATTTAAAAATATTATTAGGGTAATTTTTATGTGTTTTAAGTCGAGAATGCATTATGTGGGCCTTTGAGGCATGGCCCAAGCTCTAGGCTTGGCTTGGCCTGACCTTATTTTTTTTTTGTTTTTTTTTTAATTTTTATTTTTTATAATAATAATGCATTATTAAATATGTTATTTAAAAAAAAATTAATCTTCGGTTTATTTTTCAATTAGATTGTGATGGTTTTTTTAAGGTTATAATTTTTCTAGACAAATTGAATAAATCAATTAACAATCCAAAAGATCACTAGATAGCTAGAGGGGTATATTTTTTAAATGGCATGCATGTGAAATAATATAAATTATCAAGAAAGTCAAAAGGTAATATACATATAGTATAAGTGTTGTCTTACACGCATGAGGGAGAATTAACGGTTTGTCACTAACTTGACCCAACTTTATGCTTGTGAATGTACCATCTTATCTTTGTTGATTACCAACTCTTATCAAAATTTAGTATATAAATAAAATTTAAATGTTAAAATGAAGAATAACCTTAAAAAAGAAAGGGTTTAAAACGGGGTTGGGCCCTGCCGACCTAATTTTTTTGGGGCTAAAAATATGTTTGGCAAAACACACTTTTATGCATTTTTCTTTTATTTTTATTCCTTTGTTTTGATATCTAATCAAACAAGCCTGTTTTAAATATTAGAAAATTCTAGAAAAATTTGGGGATCTTCATTGATTTATTTAAGGTTTCCTCACACTTTTTTTTGTTGAATTTGTTGTACATTTGATTTATGAATTTTTAATTGAAAAATATGAACATGATATGCAATATATGTCCACCCTTCCTTTTAAGAAAAAAAATATAGATGAATAAAATAATATAGTTTTCTTAATCCAAATTTTATGGATTTATTCACTGGCGAAGAGGGTAGGAATATCATATTATTTAGGTTACATAATATTTAATAACACCAGAGTTAGAAATATTCATTAACGGTAAAGTTTGGAATATGATAGGAAGACCATAAAAATGGAATAAAGATAAACTCTTAGTAATTTAAGACAAAATCAGCAATGCAATTTGTCTCAAGTAAAACACTTAAGAGATAGTAGTATCTTTCCTTTCACGTAGCCAGTCTCGTACTATAGAATTTATGTTAGCCAGTTAGGGTTATTAGTAACCACATTACTAGGTGATAACTCTTTAAATCAGATATTTCCTTTCTAAAAACCAAGATGTCAGATATTTATTTATTTTTTTAAAAAAAATTTAAAGATTATCATGATATTGGGTGCAATAATACTTATAAATGCCTATCTATTTTATGGTTTGCAACTTTGTATCCTAAATTGCTCCTTATAGGAACATATCATCTATGAATTTCATTCCAATGGACACTTTGGATAATACATTGGCCTTGGTGTTCGCATATTATTATTGGCTTAAGCTACTAGGTCAGATATCTAACTTTTTGAAGAGATGTGTTGTTTGTTAGAGGTTTAAAGCTGTCTTATTGAATGCTAGGCTCTACACTCCATTATTAATTTTTATATGTGTGTTAGTTTTTATTGTAAATTTCATGTGTTTTTCTATTACAAATTTTTATTTAAAGCTGTCTTATTGAATGCTAGGCTCTACACTTCATTATTAATTTTTATATGTGTGTCATTTTTTATTGTAAATTTTATGTGTTTTTCTATTACAAATTTATTTGATAGAGGAGTTCATCAAACATAATCATGTAAATTACTCATATTACGATGTCAGATATCTTGATCTTCGTTTTCTGCTTGGTTTTTTCAATTTCCTTTTTGTTTATTGTTAATGAATATTTTTTCATTACCTTACATAATAATTATTGATTTGTTTAATTAGATGCGTGTATAAGTTTTTTAATTTATATATAGGAGTTTTTTAGCGTAAAAAACACGTTGAATAATTTTGTATATTTATTATTTTATTATTATGTTTTGATGATGTTTAAGATTTGATGTTTATTCTTATGATTTTTTTAATCTTTTATGAAATTTTTATTGTTTTTAGTTTTATCTTTCAATCTAAGTTTATAGTATATTATTTTTTTTCTTTGTTTTTTGATTCTTGTGTTGTTTTTAATGTATAGTGCTTTCGTTCTTATAACCTAGGTCACTGTTTAAAAAGTTAATATTAATTTAATTTTTTATCTTATTTTTTTAAACAATTATTATTTTTGTTTTATTAACAAATAAGATCATTAAAATGTTTTGAAAATATTATGAAGATATAGATCATAATATTACCAAATATTTATATTTTGCATTGAATCATTTTTTTTCTTGATTTTATTTATTGTCAATCATTAAATTAACTAATTTTATTAAATTTATTAGAGCAAATTACCTATATATATTATTTTTTAAAAAATACTGATCTTTTTTTAATATTTTTATGCTAAAAATAATTGGCTCGTGACTTCGCGCGATGACTTGGCACGACCTCCTAACTAGTCTTACCTATAAACATATAATGCTTTGCCATCCCATGTCACATACTCATTTAAAGCTCGACACAATGGTCAATTATTTTATATTTCAGTGTTTTGTGACATAAACAATGAAGTTACTGATTGAAACATTGGTCCACACTCTTGGTTTCTTTCATGGCGAAGACTCCCCCCCGTGCGCACTCAGGTCAATGATGCAGAATTGTAGGGTTCTTGGTTGCTAGGCAAGATTTTTTGGTGGCCATATAATTTTTTCTAGGTTTTTTATTTCATTTTTTATTCTATTAATTTTTTATTTTCTTATTTGATACTTTTATTTAAAATTTTAATCGCTTTCAATAAAGTTTGTCGGAACCAACCCGAGGTTCAACGACAAAAATATGAGCTCTTCTTTTCTGTGGTCCACTACCTTTAATTTCTTTCATAGCAAGACTTTCCTCCGTGCGCCCCCTGGTCAAAGATGAAGAATTGGAGGGTTCTTGGTTATTTCTTCTGGTCGAGAAGTATGTGCCTTGTAACAATCTATCACGGCATGAAAGATGTACGTATTATAGGGTAGAAATGGCAAAGGGAAGAGATGAAAGAAGAAGGATGAATGCCAACCTATTCATCTCGTTGTTGATCAACAAGGAAGGAACTTCATAGAAATGAACCCTTGAGATTACTATCCTATCCATCAAAGTCCTTCTATCCTCCCTGCAATTCCTTCCAAATTATGTGCTACATTGATTTTCTTCGCATTTGAAGTAAGTTAGACTGGATTGCCTAAATATGATGAATAAAGGGTTGGATTTGCAAAGATATTTACGCAGTTTAATTTGTTGATTTGATACATCTCAAACTGTGAATTGGCACTGCATTAGTAACTAAGAACTTAGAAGGTGAATTGACAGAAAAGAAGAAGAAGAAGAAGAAGAAGAAGAAGAAGCTAGTACTAAACCAATAAGTTTACACATAATCCATGAACCTAACTGGTCACAACAATTTCCTTCATTATTGCTCACTAATATGTTATTACTGAAAAGTGTAAATTTCTGATCACTCGATTTCTGAGATGGCTGCCAACTCTTGGTGAAGACGTCTCGCTGGCATGCGGCCTGCACTTGTTCTCTTAGGGACAGAGGAGCTGAAAGGATCGGGAGGCTTTGTTAAGTTTTCTCCTTCCCCTTCAAGCATTTGGACAACAGTTTTCATGGAAGGACGCTCTGCTGGGTTCCACTGAATGCACCACAGCCCCACAATTGCTAGTTTCTTTGCAATTTTAGCATCTTCTTCTCCATCGATATGAAACCGCAGGTCTTCTTCCTTTTCTAAGAGATTATAAATCCATTCCGGGAAGTATATCTGGTCGCCATTTTCTGCTGTATCATCGACGTTCTTCCTTCCTCCAACCATTTCCAACACCAACATCCCAAAGCTGTAAACATCTGATTTATAGGAAACATTCCCGAAGTTCCTCGAGAACACTTCTGGGGCAATGTAGCCAACAGTCCCCCTAGCAGTCGTCATGGATATGGCACTTTTATCCTTGGAACACAGCTTAGCCATCCCAAAATCGGCGATTTTGGGATTGAATTCATTGTCAAGCAGGATATTCTGTGGTTTGATATCAAAATGGAGGATTCTTTGATCACACCCCTGGTGAAGATATTCAATCCCCTTGGCTATGCCTAGAGCAACACGATTCAACCTTTCCCAGCCAAGGAAATGGTTCCTTGAGTCTGCTGAGGATATGAACTTCTGTAAAGAATCATTAGGCAAGTACTCATAAACTAGAGCTCGTCTAAATCCATCAGCACAGAAACCGATCAAGCGAACAACATTAACATGGTGGATACTTGCCATTGTTCCCACTTCATTGATGAATTCCTCCCCTTTTCCTATGGAATTACTGAGGAGCTTCACAGCTACAGTTATTTCATTGGTTAGCTTTCCTTTGAACACGGTTCCATAAGCTCCTTGGCCCAATTCATCACTGAATTGATTTGTGATCCTCTTGAGATCAGCATAGGAGTACCTCGTGGGATTCAGTGATCTGTAATTATCCAAAAACATTTCAACCCTGGCTTGATATTCTCTTTGTGTTTTATCGTTGCTACAGGTGCGGTAGAGTGCAGTAATCGCTATTGCAAAAAGGAAGAATCCTAAAATCACACCTGCATATCAACATTCTGAGTCAGGAAACTCTTTTTTTTTTTTGGGAAGTAATGTATTGAACCAAGTGTAAAATTGAGATGGAGATTTGAGCAGACTACAAACCAGTAATCAGTAGCTTTCGCCGCACATCTGTAAAGGATTGAACACTTTTTAGCTTCTCCCTTTTAGGCAATTGGTAAAATCATGAAAGCAACAAAAACGAAAAGAGTTTCTAGTGGTTTTTTATCTACATATTCAAATGCCAATTCTTAATTTGAAAAAAGGAAGAAAGATAGAAATGCATACCTTTAGTGTGCGGAAGACTGCTGTAGCATTCAGTTTCAGAAGATCCACAAGTTGGATTGGACCAAGACATAGTAAGAACATAATTTTCTTCCTGCATCATACTATATGGAATTCCATATATGTTGTACATCTTGGTACAAGATAACAAATCAAAGTTACTGATGGAAATACTTGATTCAACGGCGTAAACTTCATGCTTGTAAGTCCTCAGACATGGAATTTTACCGATGTACAGAGACCTTTTCTCACTAGAAAGTGAACAATTGAACAAGGTATAATCATACGGCTAATCGTTCTTAATTTGGAAGTGAGAAGCCCCTAAACTGAAGTTTAAACGACGTTGCCTTAGAAAGCAACCTTGAGGATCCCTTGCATAAATAAGTCGATGTATATAGTCAATTCTTTCGATATGGAGACTCAATCCAGTTGGCAGCTTAAGCACTGTGTTGTTGTCCTTCGAGCAGGATAGATCAAAACCACAGTGGCAAATCAGAGTCACTGATGGAAATACTTGGTTCAACGGCGTAAACTTCATGCTTATAAGTACTCAGACATGGAATTTCATGGATGTACAGAGACCTTTTCTCACTAGAAAGTGAACAATTGAACAAGGTCCAATCACCCGGCCAATCGTTCTTAATATTTTGGAAGTGAGAAGCCCCTAAACTGAAGTTTAAACGTTGCCTTAGAAAGCAACCTTGAGGATCCCTTGCATAAATAAGTCGATGTATATAGTCAATTCTTTCGATATGGAGACTCAATCCAGTTGGCAGCTTAAGCACTGTGCTGTTGTCCTCTGAGCAGGATAGATCAAACCCATGATATCCACAGTGGTCTGGTTGTTTGTCCTTGATCCGGAAAGGAAATCGGATGTCAGGGCCACGGTTTCCACATGATCCTGTGCAGTTCAAGCTTGCTCCATGGCCTGCAAGGAAGACAATGAAAAAGAAGAACAAACACGTAACCATTTCTGATGAATAATTCTTCATCTCCACACTCCCTTTGATATTGCTCCACTCACAAACATGTGGGATCTACTTATTCCGTTTTATTTAGATGTGAGCGAGCAAGCATTGCACTAAATACACGATAATAATTAGGGGTGAGCATCATTTCAAGCGGTTTGGTTGTTTGGATAAAAAAAATTATTCAATTTTAAAAGTGCTTTTAAAAATAATTTTTTTAAAAAATTGGGAGTTACCTTCATCGTCTGGCTATAAAATGATGACGATTACACTTGAATATATGTTATTATATAGTAATTAATATTACTAGTGACATTTCAAACACATGCCGGGAAACATCTATTGTTCCTTAATAATGGCAGGTCCAAGAGTAGAAGACCTGGACAGGGCTCGGGAGAAAAAGGTTAGCTCCGAATATAACTTAAAATCCATGTGAGATGCCAAGAAAAATATCTCTAAAAAACAAAATCATGTTAGTTAGATTGTTTAAAGTGAGCATCATTTCAAGCGGTTTGGTTGTTCGGATAAAAAAAAAATTATTCAATTTTAAAAGTACTTTTAAAAATAATTTTTTAAAAAAATTGGGAGTTACCTTCATCAAATGAATTTATTTTATATTGCTATTTCTTATATAAAATCAAACACATTTATGATTTTTTTTTTTTTATTTGAAGACATTAAATAAACACAACCTATATATAATAAAGGCCAAAACCGTTCAATTAAAAAAAAAAGAGGGAAAAACACTCCAAGCAAGCACCGATTATGCGTTTTTATGTCTAAATGATTCGGAAAATCATTTAAATCAAGAACTACCCAATTTTTGCGTGTTCATGATCAAGAATTAAAACAGCAAGAAAAAGAGTACCATACCAGACTATTTTTCAGAGCCATATGTGGGCATTAATTGATAAACAATTCATCAATTCATATATAACGTTTGGAAGATGTTCTTTGACCTCACATGAAAAATCTTATATTATGGTTGGGTTGCTTTTTAAAATGAATTTTATTTTTAATATATTTTTAATATATTTTAATATCAATATATCAAAATAATATAAAAATTGAATGCTCATCCCCAATTATTTTTTTATTCTAACATAATTTAAAAGCACTTTTAAAATGGAGCGCTCACCCCCAATTAGCAGAAAACTAGACTCCATCAAGTGAATCTTAATTAAAGCTAGTTTATTACTCATAGTATTTTTAAACTCATCAAATTAATGAAATTATATCAGTTGGACTCTTATTTCTTAATTTTCCGTTAACCCCCAATTATTTCTTAATTACACGAGATTGTAGCTCGCCTGTGCGGAACTTCAAATGGGGACCAATTCATTTTATTTTTCAATTGTTGTCTTGCTCGAGATACAATGAATCGAGGTTACACGAGATTGTAGCTCAATCAGTATTTAAGTCCAGTTTGTCTACGCGGAGTTGACTTGGCTAAAAGCACGAATTAATCCATTTTTTTAAAAAAAATTGTATCATTTAAAAAAATATTGGCAGATCATTTTGTGGGTGTGATGGGAGAGTTAATAATTAGCTTGTTCGTCCATGTTTCCCGAAGCCAAACCACGTTCCAAACAAGACTAGTAGCCTTCGGCCTCTAGCCCCGAGGAC